GCCCGCTGGCGTGACGGGGCCTTCCCGTGCCCGCGTCCCCCCCAGCCCCTCCGCGCCGCCCGGGCGCCGTCGTGAAGGCGATACAGAAGGTAGCGGGGCAGAGAGCAGGGCTGTGCTTCAGGCAGGAGCGGGGAGGCTCAGGGTCTGTTTCATCTGGGGACGGGGCCAGGATCCAGCCCACTCGGGAGCCGGACCCCCACTCGGAGGCCTCTGCCATCGCCAGCCCCTGCCCACCGATGCCCCGGGAGGGACAGAGCTCCAGGTATCCCGTGGATTCCCTGCCTCAGTCACACGGCTGGGCTCGGCGGCGATGAGATGCTCAGACTGACACCCCACCACGTACCACCTACCCCTCTATTGCGTGGCCACATCCAAACGTCGCCCGAGCTACAGCTCACCTGCAACTCTTAGGTAGGTGACGCTACCATTTAGCTCTGCTATTAGCTGGTTCTTCATGATGGTACACCATTTTACACGTCAGTGATCCAGTGCTGAGGCACTTTGCTTCAGTGCCGTCTTAAATATTTGTTACCTTTTGGGGGATTTCTCATGCACAGATCTGATTACGCAAAGTAGAGGCTTGGTTGATAAAAGGTAAGTGATTTATAGGTCGTAGGAGTACATTACAATCCAAACGTGTTATTAGCTTATCAAAACCAAGTTAGAGGTAACTTTTTGACTCACTTGACTCTTACCGGGTTTGAGGAGCTGATCAGACATTCATATGCACCCACCACTCGATCTTCAAAATCTATTTAGAAATACAACATTAGTAAAAACCATACAGGTATGCTTAGACAAGGTAAGGACACTCTTTAGAAATCCATTCTTCCCCAATGCGCTCACAAGTCACATCTCCTTATTCATACGTCTCAAATAAGTCTCAGTATTACCACCAGCACTGTGCAGATGGAGAAAACTGAGGCACTGAGGCACGGAGAAACACGTTCCCTAGGCAGGTTGATTAGAAAAGCACTTACAGCCTCAGTGTGATGCACGAGTCACCAGATCTGCTCTCTACCATCTTATTTTTTGCTATCAGTGCTTGCATTTCTTCTCTGAGAAGAAAACCAGTGTGAAGCACCACTGCAGCAGAACCAAGCAAGCCCATTAAGAGAGATACTGCAAGACCTCAGCTGTAAGGTACGCCAGTGTTGAGTTCCGGGTGCAAGGCTTGCCTTACAATTATCCCAAATCCTCCTGCAAATCTCTCTCCATAGTCACAGACTATTCCTGCATCAATCTGCCATTGCCTCATCCTGCTGTGACCTGGCCTAACCAAGCAGTTTCCGAGATTTACTTATTTCCACCCAGCAGAGACGCAAACAGTACAAAAACACACACAAGAAGCTGTGTAAACCAGCAGGCAAATCCTGCTGCAGCCGGGGCAGGAGCACAGCTGGTGTGCACACGCCTTACCGAGCTGCTGCGATTCACACGGTGCCACGGCTGGTGGGACACGCCGCAGAGGGCAGAGCCGCCTTCCCACGTGGACACGGGGTTTAAGGTTTTCTATCAGAAGGCACTACGATAGGCCTGTTCCATAGCTGTATTTCTACAAATAAACCAGAGCAATACTGCAGGTCCTCAGGTACAATACCAAGACAATCTTTTTATTGTCCAAAAGCTCCACAGACTGGTCGGAGGCCTGTCAACTGCGTTGGCACTGGCAATAAGCTAGTGGTCTTGCAGAGAGGTTCCTACCTACAGGAACTATCTGTGACTCCTGGATCACAGCAGTTAAAGCAGCAAAATCACAGGCTGTGTGTGCACACTGCTATTCTGCTGGCAAGTTCTGAGCAACACAGTAGGCCTGAGTCTGTGCACAGGAACTAAAAAGTAGTTTAATATAAAAATAGAGCTTTATGAATACCAAAACAACATGTCAAGGCTTGTGGCTCTGAAATATCTAACGCATTTAAGAACTGCATTTTTCAGGAAATATTTCAGTTAGAGAACTTAAGGAAAACTATTTTTCAAAGCCTGAAATAATTCATGTACATGCAGTAACAACACAGGAGAAAGGGGGGAAGATTTTCTAGTATGCACTTAAGTTTGCAAGATTGTCATTCCAGTGTATTACAGTTAGTTTTGCACATTACAGTTCTCTCTTAGCAAAAGCACACTTGCAGCAGCATATTGACATCTTTATGCCAAAGATTCATATAAAATTATTATTCTCAAGTAAGTCGGAAAAATTGAAAAGTGGATTCCGGAGTGTGACTGAACTGAGACTAATCCTGCATCTGCAGAATGTCATGTCCACATAGTATCACTAAAAAGAAAAAAAAAAGATATTTCAGTAGAAATTCTTGCATGTTTTATGTATTCTAGTCTGTTTATCATTTTTGGCTGACTCTGTATCTCAGATTACTTTAAAAAAATCCATTTGAATTTTCTTAATATTTTTGAAGATACAATTTGTACTCTCATCTCAGTTCTCTTGCCTTTCTGCAAGTGGTTTTATCTCAAAATGGCTATTCAGTATTGAAAAGCACCTAGAATAAGGTAATTTCAAGTTCCAATAGCATAGTGTTTTCAAACTAGTTGCATCTCTCCTCTTCAGTATATGCTTGCTCTTCATACTGTTTATATCCATGCAGCAAATGAGATATAAGATTTATTCACTCCTGGCATTGGTGTCTCGGTACTAAAACCATGCAATCCACTGAGACGCTGGTTCCTGTAGTTCAGCATGTCTTTCTTCCAAAGTTCCTCAAGAAAGGTAGTGTGTATATCTGCAATGGACACTCCGATGTCAATTTTCAAGAGCTGATTTCCTTGACTCAAAATTTTCCCTTCGGAGGAGCTTTAATTCTCTCAGTTCTTGTGGCTGTAAACTCTGGTCCACGCCAGGAGTTAGCTTGTAATTTAAAGGAGATTCAATATAACCATTTCTGTACAGACAGACCCGCTTGCAGAATTCAAAGGTGCTAAACATAACACCAAAGTATGGGACAATCTGATAAAATAATAAAAAAAAGGCAACATAAGATAAAACAGCAATATTAGACTCACTAGTAGCATTCTTAGCTTAGATGTTTTAAACAAGGAAACTTCTAGGACTTCAAATCTGATCAGATCTGCTAATAGAGCTGTGCTCATTTCTATAAAATCAGTCTCTCCTCAAACTAGGCTGGCACCTGCAGCATGCTAAGAGTAGGAGTTTATTATTGGTACATAACTCACTGTAACAATACTGTAAGGAACAAGGTCTGTGATATAGATGCCTATAGATTATCACAACTTGTCAAATACCTACGCAAATCCTAAGAAACCTCAGCAAATCCTGGTAGGAAATGTGGGATTTATTCTACATACAGCAGAGTGACCAAACAATTTTCTCCCTTTGCCCCATGCAGAATCAGCAGCTCTGGTGCCATGTGGCTTTATACCAGCCAAGATAGGGCCAGGCACAGGCAGGCCATTGCAATCAATCACATTGTCACTCAATTACCATTCATTAGCTGACCTGTAGTTCTCCACATAGGTAATCCTCACTGCACCACTATAAAATGTATTTATGTAAACCAAATTACCTTCTGTTTAAGCTACTGTGCTTTATTTCATGCTTTCAACTCAGTAAGGGCTGTAGTAACTCATACGCATGCATTAAATAGCTGGTTGAAAGTACTACTTTTGATTTCTGAGGAAGTGGCTTATAAAAGCGCAATTTTCTTTACAGCTTGGTACAACATTTCAAATTATGGGAGCTCAGCTGAGCAGTAGAACTTGTTTAGCTGTCTTAAGTGGATCACTTGCAAGCCCCTATCCATACCCTGGCTTGTGTGTTAGCAGCACTCCCTTCTCTAAGGGCATTCAAATGAACTCAAAAGCAGTGACATCTAGAAGCCAAGCTTACATTTGGGGAAATATGATTTATAACCTGCCTGAGGTAATACCTGTTCTGTCACGGACTCTGTCATCTGTAAGCTGCTAATAAGTACAGAGGCACGTCATAAGCTTTATAACCCCAGCTGTCCAAAAGCGTGTCTTGATTCCTTCAGGATAGTCTTTGATTAGGATGAAAGCAAAACCTCACCTTGAGCAGACTGGGTGTGAGTCCACTCCAAAGTCCGAGCACGCCTTTGTTCTTCACAGTTTGCCGGAAACAGTCAGCCATGCCAGTAAAACGGACATCAACTGCTCCATAGTGGGGAAGCCAAGGACTCTGTGCCTGTTCAAAAGACACCCAGGGGGATTTAGAACAAGCAAAGGAAAACCAAAGTAATTAAAGATAATTACTTTCTCCATTCTAGTACATAAGGAACACTTAATGCCAGGTTTCAACACTGATCTGGATTCTTCCGTCCACGCAAAAGAATCAGCTATTTTGCCTTGAAATACAACCTAAAAAGGGAGGGAATTCACTGTCTAATAGGTACGAAAGAGAAAGAGAGCAGTAATTTCACACAGCACTTCCTTTCGTGCCATGTCACATTACTGGAAATAAATCCCACCCTTGTGAAGACAAACTGTGCGAACCAGAGCCGCGTAACGCATCAGCCCCACATCTGCCAGCTGCTCAGGTCTGGGGAGAGGTATTTCACATCACTGGCAGCGGAGCACCCACGAGTGGGAAGCTTGGGGCTGGCCCCAGGTGCCACACTGCCTTCCTGTAACTCTGATCAAAAAGAAGAGCGCGCCGACTTCACTCTGGCTGCTGAGGCTGCGTCCACACTGCAATGAGAAGGGTGAACCCATGTACTACGGGTTGAGTAGCAACAGCACAGAGAAACGAAGAACAGAGATTTCAGCCCAGGCTGTAGAAGCCCACCGAGGGCTGTAGGTGAGCAGTTGGTGCCTGCGCTCCCATATCTTCGCTACACGGCCAGTTGATCCAGACTGGTTAAGGTTAGCTTGGGAGCATCCTGCCGAACTGCAGCGACATTTCCGACTGCAGTATAGACAGTGTCTGTTCACATGGAGGAAGTGTAGAGGGTCATTTTTAACAGCAAAATCCTTCCTTCATTAATCTCCTACTGCGTTAGCACAGACAGGATAACCTGACCTTGAATAATCCCATTCTCATCCATCTGTGCACATGCAGCCATGGGTTTATTTTGCATTGGCAAATCAGGGTTTCACTCAAACATATGGCAAGTGACACTTCCCAGTCAGGAGTGCATGGGGACCCTGGGACACAGGTTGGTGACTTGCACATGCAAGCTGATCACCACAGGGCAGAAGTTTGATAAAAATGGGACTTGTACAGTTAACTGATTGATGAATATGGGTATCATTATCCCCTTGTTGATCTGAAACACCATGTGGTGTAGCGTTTTGTCCCTCCTTGGCCAGACTAACCTACAGCTTCTCAGAGCTGCTAAGCCTATGACAAGCCTCTCATAAACTGACAAGTGGTGATGACATTTTCTAGATGCCTCAGCTATAGCATTTCAAATACTTGGCAACTTAGATGCTGGAAATGGAAACAGACCAAAACTCATGTTCCAGGTATATAAGAGAAGTTGCTAATCAAATAGTTCTAATAATGTTGCATCCCCTTGCATTACTGGCAAGTCTACTGCTAAAATTTTGAAGCTAACAAAAAAACCCTTATCACCCCACACACTAACTGCATAGTTGTCTTTATCTACAAAAAAATCACATGATTTTTTTCTCACTTTTTTTGTGCATGATTGAAATGCATGTGAAATACTTCTAATGGCAGGTAACAGGTAAAACCATACACTTTCCTTTTGACAGTGCTTAGGGAGGTGATTTTGGGAAAGCAGCTGTCTGCAGTGAGAAAGAAGGAAGTAGGCTTCCACCACATCCTGATTTGTTATCCCCTTTATCCCTTTATCATGTCCTGGCTCTTTTACCCAAGATGAGAGTAGGGCTGAGGATTTAACCCGTGGTCTTTTACAGTTTGAGGAGGAGAAAACAGAAGCATTTGCTTCTCTGAACCTTCTCAACAGCGTACCTGATTTGTAAGAGAGGGATCACTTTTGTGGGGGTGAAAGTATTTCAACTGTTCTAATTGCTCATCCCCTTGTCTCTGCATTGGCATTGCTAACTCCATGGGCCTACAGCTGTTTCTGTAATTCCTAACCGTGGTGCAAGCTCCCACAGCTTCCTGTTTTAGGACCCAGAGAGGCAGCAGACTGCTGTGATTTTACAGTATTACCAGCCCTGCCTTTGCAGGTAGTTCAAGGTAACTCAGCTAGTCTGGTAGCCAAAGGTCGTGCACGTGTTCGCTTATGCTCATTTGCTACAAGGAAGCTCAGCTGTCTGCTTGGCTCTGTTACTTAAAGGGTGTAACGGTTTAAAAAGCAATAGCTAAATCCAACAGTGAGAAAGAGAGAAATAACTTTTCAAGCCTTAATCCACAGTACTTGAGAAACTCCTGCACAAAGACTCTCATGATTGTACTGCAGAAGATGCCAAGTGCTGCAACTGAGACTTCAGGGACCACTAAGAATGGTTATATTAGCACCAGGGATGCTCCGAAGAGCACCCAAATGATTTAAGTATCCTTAAATATGCAATTGCAGTCATAGGAGAGCTGGATTCAAAACCCTGTTCTGCTTTCTGGACTGTCAGACAGATTCCACGAGCTTTTTTGGTAAAGGAAGTTACAGGCAGCCAAGCAGTGAAGAGGGACAGGTTTCTAAAATGCTTCAGGAAAGCAGGAATGCTGTTAACATGCGATTCCCTTCCTTTTTAAGTCCTTTTGTGGTAGGCAGGGCATGACCTGCCAGAATTAACTGCATGAGTTTGACTTAATCCTCTTTGTTACTGTATACATTGCAAAGGCACAAATCAAAGGGTTTTGATTACAGTACCCCTGCCTACAACACCAAGACAGGCGACAAGCACACTGCAGGTTTCAGTAAGATTCTGCATGCAGTAAACGCATCCAGAAGACAGTTAAAAAGGAACAGGTAAGTCAAACCCCCAGATTTCGAGTTTGCCCACAGACATTGATCTCTTAAGAGATTTACTGAAAGATTATTTATAGTAACATTCACCACGGTTACAGCCATTTTCAAGATTTCAGTCTGTGGGGTGAAGTACGCTTTGCCAGTCTTTCTGCTTTACAGGAGCAGTATGTTTCTGGGACCCCAGACACAGTATTTAAATAAGAATTGTCCACAGAATCTCAGAATCACCTACTGCAAAAGGAAAACTAAAAACTGTATCAGTGTGTAGTTAAAACTTCAGTATTTTGGAACACAGCTAAACAAAGTTAAAATGTATTAATAAAAGAAAAGAATTAGAAAGGCGTTTTCATTTGGGATGGTTTTTAATGAAAAAAATAGCTGTGGGTTTCGGGTGGTTCTGCATCATCTAAGCATGTCTGCAACACCACAATCCTCACAACTGCCCTATGGCACCAGAGCCAGAAAACAGAGGTAACCAAACAGATCAAACTAGTTTCTCTACCTTTTTTGCAGAAACCTACTATGACATACAAAACAAACAGCTAATCTCACACCAAAAAGATCAGGTTTATGACAGAGACTTTTCACACCATGCACCTCAAAGCAGCTTGAATTCCTTTCTTTTGACACCCCTTGGCACTACGGGCTGGTGCATGGAAACCTGTTTGTTACGAACATTTTTAAAGACTTCCTTCCCCCCCCCCAGTTACAGCTGTCTCATACTGCAGAAGGCTGGAGATACAGTACAGCCCACTGCGCTGGTACAGAGTGCCAAGTTGTTAGTCATACTAGTAGTAGGGCTAAGTTACTAATCTTTTTACCTCTGATGGACGATGGGTTCTCTAAATGATTAAAGCACATCAAATGCAGAATTGGCTCCATCTGCTCTCTCATGAACACAATCTTTTAGTTTCCAGAGGTCACCAGGTCTACTAAGTCACTGTGATACATCCCCAAAGTCAGCACTCTGTTCTATTTCGACAATCTAAACCCAAGAGACACATGTATATATAACCCCCCACCCCAACCTACCTGCACTCACATTTTTTAATATTTAAAAAATATTTAAATAAGGGTGAAGTGTCATGACAAATGTCAAGTTAATTGTTAAAGTTAATTGTTACCTGAAGACTCTATCTGCAACTATCTGAATTTACATGTATCAGAGACTACTTGGAAATACATCCCTCTCACTTCATGTACTTTCCGCCCCCCCTTCCCTGTTCATAAAGTTTGTTGGTACAAAGATTTGCTATTTATTTTTTGAGTGTGCAGTACTGTTGGCACAGAGTATGAAAGATCAACGAACAGTGAATAGCTGCCATAAGTGGTATGCTATTCTGATGGTAGATACAGTGAAATTGCTTGTTATTTATTTATTTTCAATAGATTCAGGCATCCTACACTTTCTGATCAATTTAATAAAAATAAAAGCACAGGAAGACACTTCACAACACAGCTCAAGGGTTCACACTCTTAATCTGGAAGCTAAAATAAGAAGTCTTTGCAGTCTGGGTTAATAAGGACACATGCAACGGGCAAGCGTAATTGTAGCTCAAAGGAAACCGAAGGACAAAGATTGCAGTTTTCATTCAAGCTAATGCTACTACAGTCAACAGAAATTTCACTCAAGAGAAGGCTGAATGCTTGGAAGAGTATTTCATTCCACTCAAATAAGAAAGAATTAAAATGTAAATAAGTATTAATATTGGGGAAAAAAAGCATGCATTCTCTTGGGCTACTCAATCCTTTCTCCTGGAGGACAGCTTTCCTCGGCAGGCATTGTCTTTTCTGTGTCACTGGTTTGGTAACGCTGACTTACCCCTGGCTAAAGTCCACCAAGGGTATTCAGGCATGTGGGAAGGTAAACGATGACAAGCTATCAGGAGGCAACCGGTTCCAGAGCAGCACGGCGGAGCAGCTGACCTCCAGCTTCCTGCACTCTAGGAACACGATGTCCTTTCCTCTGTAACCTGAACTGGGGCCAAATCGGCTCACCCTTCTGAGATCAATGGCACCAAATGAGCAAAACAGTTTACTGCTTGCTCAAAAGTTTGACTCTTAGCTTGAAATACATTATCGCCAGGCCTGTGGTAACCTGAGGCTTCAGGGTTTGTTGCAGAATCCCTCCTTTGTTACTGAACCTAAGCTTTCCCCGCTTTTAACACCTGCAGTATGGAGAAATCTTTGATATGGAATACAGAGGTCTTTTTTTTCAAGGCAGTGCAAACCCCTTGCACCATGGACACCTCTGCGTGATTCCTGAATGCCTCATGATGGTTCAGCT